AGAAAATGGACTGAAAACATGATCTGCCACAAGAGTAAACACAGGAAATAATCTTATAATGAAAGTTTATCTGGACGTAGTGTTTTCGCTGCTGTGCTGTGATCGCCGTCGTGTTGCATGAACCAGTTCAGGCTTTAGCTGACAGACAGACCTCTTCACATCTGTGTTCAGCGTCTACTGAGCGACTGCTCGGTGCCCAAACCATCATCCCTCCACCACCGTGCCACCAACAGCTGGTGTGAGGAGTTTCTCTGATCAGCAAACCACCAAAACTGCCGTGATCGTCACGCTTCTTCACCATCAGTCAACCAAACACGTCTGAGCAGCAGCACCTGCTGAAAGCTGCACGTAGCGTCAACACCGACGCTAGCTCTGAGAGTCTGCACAGCGGTACCTTGTGCTAAGTGCTAATGTCAGTTAGCCATTGATGTGACAATGCTAGCAGCTACAATGGTTGGCATGCGCACCGCTGCAGTTTAGCATGCTAACGTTTGCATTTCAACATCAGAAGAAAACACAAGGAAAGCTACGGCTACACACAGCTGAATACAAGAATGTGTCAGCGATTAATGTCTCAGTGAGTCATTATCTAATCAGGAGGTCGAAGCTTTGGGGTCAGACACAGAGCAGGAACCTAACTGCACACAGCTGGGACCCACTGGTGCTGAACTGGTGCTGAACTGGTGCTGAACACTGAGGGTGGAGACGGAGCCAAAGACACTTATAGTAGAATATTAAATTTGGGTGGAGTACGTGAGCACTTTTAAATATTTATCAGATAAGCAAAGTCCATTAATCCCCATTAAAAATGTCAAAGTGAAGCTCCAGCCTTAATCTGGAGAGTCATCACACAGCCAGCCAACGCTGCGCTACCACAGATACACCATCACCCCGTCACCAACACAAAAGGCACCAGTAACAAATCACAGAAACCAGCATCGATTCAGCGCTCGTGAAAAAGCACAGCGGCCGACGGGGACGCCGGCACTAACGATGTCAAACCGCGGGCAAAACCTAACTCGTATTGATGCCACGTTTAGCGAGGAGAGACGGCGAGTCTGACTGCGACACAAACGTCAGAGACGAACGACATTTGTGTGCAAACAACACGAGGAGGAGACGTGAAGGTCAAACTCCAGTGAAACCCCCCGATCTCAGCGAGGAGCTCAAATCACATCTGCCCACAAAGGGCGCCGTCGCTTCAGTCCAAACTCTCCCCAATCCAGCCCGGCTCGCCTCCATCTCAAACATCACCTCCTCCAATTTTAACTGAGCACTGTGCTGACATCATTACTGCTTCAAACAGGTGCTCAGAGTGACGTTAGAGGAGGAGTCAACAAAAACAAGAGTTTTATCGTTACAAAGTAGCAGCTAATGGAGCATGAAAGTGTGTGTGTGTGTGTGTGTGTGTGTGTGTGTGTGCGCGCGCTGACAGAGGAGCTCCTGATGTGCAAACAGCAGCCTGAGATGACAGTTTACATGCAAACTGCTCAACACTGACACACACACACACGTCTGAAATCTTATCTCTTGCGCCACGTAAACAAACACGCTCCTGCCGCACAGCTGCGCCCCCCTCCTCCGCCCGCTCCTCACACATGGAGCAGTACGAGCCGCGCTCCCTCAAACTGACGATGTTTAACTCACACGTGTCCGCCTGACGTCCGAGCGACCTGCAAACGACCGCGTCAGCAACACCTGCTGACTGTTCATCACGTCTATGGCGTCTGACCT